TTTTATATATTTATTCAGACATAAAATAGCAGGAAATTTCTACTTGCTTTAGATTTTTAACACAAAGCATTCTAATATGTCAATATAACCTTCTTAAAATTTTCATATTTTCTTCAACTTCACCAAATTCTTTATCTTGTATATATAAAAACCTTAGAATTGTATCAAGTGCTATTTCTGCTTTAGTACAACTTACTTTTTCTCTTATTTCACTATTAGATTGTTTAGTTTCATCATCATTTTTATCAGCTATTGCTTTCAAAATATCTTCATCAGTGAGATTGCCTTCAATTTCAGTATTTTCAATACAAATATATTCATAGGTATTTAGAAAATCATTTTCTGGAAGTTGAGCAATTAAATTTTCAAGATCTTCTTCTTTATTTTTTAATATATCATTAATATCATTCTGATTAAAATCAATTTGCATTTCTTTTTCTTCTTGCAATGGAAGAATACAGGTTTTATTCCAACAATTAATAATTGTTTTAGGTGTTACCATCACCCATGCCTCTGCAGCATTAAGTAATACATGATACACATTATATTCAGAAAGTGTTTTTGTAATACTATTTTGCAGATTATCATAAGCATTAATTCGATTTTGAACAAAAAGTTGCTTATATTTGTATTTAAATGAATTGATAATCCTGGTATCACAAGATTGAAAGAATGGTATAGTATTTTTTGGCAAAAATTCGACCTTTATATTACTTAACTCTTCTTGAATTTCATCAAGAATTATATAGACCATGGCATTATCAACCAATAAGAGGATATTCTGATTTTGTTATTTCATTTTATTGTTAAGTTTACAAAGGATATTATTAAAAATACTTACCTGCATTTATGATTTTTTGTTCCAAAAATAGTAAACAAGAAGATTAGTATAATTTAGATTTTTTATTGTCTGTGGTATTTTATATTTATGAATAAAAGAAAGCTTTATCTTTTCAGTTTCAAAAGCATTTACTGCACAAAAAATTGTAACATATGTTTTTTCTTTTTATGACCAGCGATTTTTGACCGTGCCAAGGTTCTGAAGGGTTCCATTTTCCAAAAAAGTCTAGTTTCATCTTCATTCCATATGTTTTTAAGTTCATAAGCACGAAGAAGTTGTTGCAATTTAATATAATCATTAGCTAGTGATTCTTTTGATGCCGCACTAGCTGATTCATCATATTTTTTAAATGATCGAAGACAATTTCTTTTTTTAAAACCATTTAACCATCCTTCAGATTAGCTAAAATCATTAATATTTAATTTTTTAGTAAAGAATTTTATTTTTTCTTTAAGTATATTACCATCAATATCTTGATCTATTGCAAGTGCATTATCAATCCACAAACTAAGCGCTTCTTCTAGTTTTGGCTATTTAGACTCGCAAAATTTTTTTTTCTTGTTTAGTATCTGAAATAGAAAGCCATCGTGTTTTTTCTTTCAGAATATCACATACTGTTGACCTGCTGATTTAATAAATTTTTGCCAATTCATTATAGGTAAGGTGGAGATTTTTTTTCTTTAGTTTTACAAAGGTTATATTTTTGCGTAGCAGTAAGACTAGAATGTTGACGAGTTGATATATTTAATATTGAAGCTATATAATAGAGGATGATATAAATATATATGCGAACTTAAATATTGATGGGTTTATTTTTTTTTTTTAGGAAGATGATTTAAAAAGTATAAAGCAAATATGACAGGGTCTTATTCTTTTTATAATTAAAAAGTATAAGACAATTATTTATTATTATTTTCTTTAAAAAAGAAAGCTATTATATAGATGACACATTATTTTTAAATGCTACTATTGTTATGATAAAATTTTTTGATAAGAATTTTTTTTTATATACTTGCATGAGGCAAAAAAACCTTGATAAACTTATTTGTAAGCTTTTGTTTTTGTATAAAGCACAACTGACATACATACGCTCTTTTGATTTTATTAAATATATAGCTTTAGAAACTTATTATTTTCTATATATTAAATGATTTTTTCAGTCATACCACAATTATATATATAAATGTAAATGACATGTTATTTTTAAAAAAAGTTAATACTATAAATAAAAATAAAAAAAGATCAATTGCTTGGGTAATGTGAATATTAAAATCAACGCAAAAATATTTGTATGAATAGATTCATACATATTTATATGCATGTATTTTATTCACATAAAACTTAAAATATGTGTTTTCTCATTAAAGCTAATAAGATGATAACTAGTTGTTTAGATAATCAATCTATACAGAAATTTTAATATGCGAGTAGTTTGTCTTTATCTATGAATCATATGAATTTATACAGATTCGCAAAAGAATATGCTCATAAAAATGAATATTTGATCAGGTAAATAAATAAGATTCTCGTGAGTCTATTAAGAGAGATAATTGAGAATACTCTAAAGATGTAGAATAAAAGATCCTATCATTAGAGACAAACCTATAATCTAGAATCATGTAAAATGATTACTATATGTACTTCAAGAATGTATCTAAATTATGATCATAGATTGGACTATAAAACTGCCAAGCCTGGATTAATAAATCCAAAAAAGAAAAGATAAGATTAATTAATCTGATTATCAAATATACAGATAAAATAGGACGATAGGTTAATTATATCTTGTTTGGATAAGTTTTTGGCTATGTATTTGTGTTTCTGTATACTGTGCGCTATGCTTGAGTTTCATATTAGGAATATTAAACTACAGTAAGAATACTAAAATAACGAAGATTGGGTATATAAAGTATAAGATTTTAGTTAAAAAAAAGTGGATATAGTTTAGAATTAATGAGAAAACGCTAAAGTGACAATAGATGGTTCGATTTTTTATTTTTCTCCATAATTTGTGCTTTTAATAATTAGATCAGTTGCAATCATTAACTTGATATTGCATTAAAGTATAATTAATATATAGCACTATTTTAGTAAATTTTGGTATATAAAAAGCTTATAATATAATAATTTGGTCAAATATACT